TTCGGTTAAAACTGGTAGTGTGTCTGCAGCTTTCCGAGACCTCCCACTAGGTAAAAGAAGCTGAACACATTTATTAGGGGGAGAGAAGGAGGGGTTTTACTTTGACATAGCCTGAAGGCCAACCCTCGGGCGCAAGGACAACGAATACCAAGACAACCGCCAGACCTCAGGTGGTCAAAAAACAATGTATTACAGTCCCTGCAATTCAAGTTGTCTCAACTTCTACCTGAAATCTTAATAAGCGTTACTAGTACAGTAAAGGCATCTTACCAGAGTTCGTAAAGCTATAATACTAGTTGGTATTCCACAAACCAACCAGCATATCAACTAGCTATGAAATCCACAGGACAATATGAATTGTACTCGTCTGATTAGTAACGATTCATGCATTTGCTACTCACTTTGATGAAAATCAAAGACTATTATGTACTTATGGCTAACCATGATTAGTCCTTCCTAGAATTTGACGTCGCTCGTTCACGAGCATTGCTGCCACATGTGATCTTTAAGTGTATATAATTCCATTCACTACAGTCACTGCTTTAATTAGAAGAACTTCTAACCTCCTCAGTATGCATACTTAGTTAGCTTTGCTAGCTTTTAGGTTGCCCATTTCCCCTATATCAGTTTTGTGTCATAGTACTATGGCCTCATCAGGTCTTATGTGACGATTGACAAGTGGAGGTCTTGTTCATTCTTTGGAACTTGGGTACCATTACAGAGCTGGTTACAATTATAGTAATGATTGGTTGTTTATTACTAAAATCAGTATTTAAGAGGAAGGAAATATGCATCCTAGGGACAGAATTGTCAGTGGTGTCGTCAGCGTTATGCAGTGCCTAGTCATCAGTATTCCACTATGGCGGATTGTAAGGTCAGATGTGCTCGAACGTCACTTCGGTGACCACATGTATCAGAACTAAATCAAAATCGGATCTCCTTGATAGCCTCAAAGCTTACTTTAGGCCACAGAGACTAGCAGCCGAATAAAAGAATGAGGTCCAATTGCCTGATTATATTCATTCCCAAAGCGTTTTTATCACCGTAATTGGTAACAATTTGAAGAGTTTGAGACAAATGGTTAAGGCCAATTGGGGAGGGATTCGAAGATGCGTGACATTTTCTGCACCAGTTGTACTAAGAACACTCTACAAATCGGGTGAGGTAAGGGGAAGCAGGCACTAGGATCAAATAATTTAGAGGTCGCCTTAATTATTCATTCCTTGGGGGATATTTTTAATGCGGGCTATTAGGATAAGTAATCGCATACTCATTTGTTACGAACCATCTCTAAGCCCCCACGGTGATGATTTGAGGATCACTCATGAACCCTTGTTGATATGGAGACAAAATCCTATTAGCTAAACGTGTCGACAAAGATGGAGCAGCAGGAAAGTCAGCTGCAGAAGCCGTCTGTAAGTATTGAATTATGTACAGTCTGATTGTTTTAAGGAAGCATCAAACAGACAGGTCGTAGATGCATGTGGTCACACGCTGCAATTTAAGATGGATATGGTCTCCACCATATTTGACAACTCTAACTGCTTGCGAGTACGTCAGAGACTTCGTTGGGGTTCCATTTATCTCCAGAACTTCATCACCAACCTAAAATAAACGTCTCAATGGCTTTAGATATCACAATAATACTTCAATATGCATGTCAGGTAATATTAATTTTGTTATTAAGAGGATGAATGGACGGAGTTTACAGAAAATAAATGAATGAATAACGAATAAATGTGTGAGGATGAGTGAAAACATTGACGCATGGGCGGATGGATAGGCGGGGAGAGAGATTGAGAGGGGGAAGTTAAATGACGGGAGACTTGATTGTAAAGCTTGTTACAGTAAGACTTACTTCCATTTTCATGTCACGAAATGCCGGGCTTCCTTTCTCAATTCGCAGTATGGTCATGATAACTCCACTGTGACATTGATTCATGCGCATAGAAAAACCGAATCCTCGACCATCCGCTATTAAATCCACAGTGTAAAATCCTGATTCTTTTAAACTGTAGTTTGACGAAACAGACTACAATAGTGAAGCAAAATTAAGTAACACTGAACTTTGGTTCCAAATTCGTACTTCTATAATTTTAAGCCCCAAATACGGGGTGAATTACCCGTTAATAGTCCTTAGTGGGGTGCCGAAATTGCTGCATGCATAAAAGTGGCGAATACTTTTGCATAAATCGCAATTAGTAATCTTAGTTCCTGATATCTGGGGCCTTGCCGGATTTACAGAAAGCGAAATTCACAAAACTTCGGAATCATTTTACACTTGGTCTGGGCAAGTTTGTGCACCTTATAGATCAAGCAAACAATTAAATGTAAAATAAAAGTGTCCGTATTATATTATTGAGCAAATATTGGGTTTTATTTGAGTTGAAAACACTCTACTTATATAGTTTAAGTAGAAACAAATTAATCTTACGGATCGCGAATTCCAAGAGGAATCAAGAGCCTCTGGTACAGGTTCAAGGTGGCATGGCTGTTGTTGCTTGAGCCGTTCACCCGACCGACTTCCAGATCGTTTAACTGGCTTGGACTTATCATCGGCGTCTAGAACTAGCAAAACTTGAAATGTAAGTCACCCACTATGCAGACTTAGTACGTACCAGTCTTCCTGACCAGGAAACAGGGCGACGCTACGATTCCCAACGTCTGATTTTAAAAATTGACAGTAGCTTCATATTTACTAACATAGACAACAAATGTTTTAAAGCACTCTGTATCACATTTTAGACGTGAGCACAAGTGGTTACTTAGCAAATGAAAATCTTTAAACAAGTACATTTTAATTGGTCGATATGTCGATGGACTGTGTTGAGTCATGATGTTTTGTTGTTATGATGAGAGTGGAATCCTATTTTTAGCCTGAACGAGAGCTTTTATGTAGTGGCTGTTTTAAAACGAAATTTGATTAAGAGTACTTAGTACCAGGAATTTGGAATACGCTCCCAACACGTTGCCGCTCCACTGTAAGCTCTAGACGGTGGTGCTTTGTACAGAGCTGTTCCACCACATCGGCGTGTGTCTGTATAGCCAATGGATGTCCATTCAGCTCCGTGATTTTGTCACCCACGTGCAACTTTTTGCTTCTGTCAGCCGGTCCACCAGGAGTGATTGCACCTAATCAATGAAATGAAGCCAAACTACAATCACCCACTTCACAGCAAAAGAAAGACTTCAAGGGGTGGAGGCTTAGTGAAGTCTCCTTAATTGTTATCTGCTAGGTCACCCACTTGCTCACTCATCTTGGCGATACATAAAACACATCAGCTGTGTTCTTTATCTGTAGGAACTTACAAATTTTTGCAACTGATCGCAACTAGGCTTTAACGAAAAATCCAATTCGAATGCACTGATCTCAGGACATTGTTTACTAGGCTCTTGCAATTTGGCTGTCACTTGACGTTCACTGATAGACCGAACACTGTCTTTGAAACTTGTATGCTGGTCATATTATCTTACCACGACTGACCGATCCAGTATACAACAGTTTGGCGACCTCGGGCGACATCCAGTTTTTTCTGACGTCCTAATTAGTGGCAGTCATTGAGAGCACCAACTTGTCGATTATTATTTCCACCTATTGCCACCAAAGTGGCATTCACGTTGTGTGGATGCAAGTAAAAGGATGTGGATAAACGTGAACACCTACAGAACAGCCGAGCGACCCAATTAAGACTAGCTAATTTAACGCCAGCGAATTTCACTGACATCACTGTAGTTATATTTGCGCCGCTCTGATAACATGCGCTAAATCAGTGAGTTCGACCTCAATTGTCCAAAT